ATGTCATCTAACCATCAACAATAATTAAACCAGACTAAAAATATGACTTTTTAAATTAATTTTCAAAGTGTTTGTTTGAAAATTAGATTGGGAATTTTTTATTCATTTAAAATTCTTGATCAGTTATTTATCTAAAACAAAGCTATGATCTTTTTGCACTTTTTCTAATATCTACAATACTTTTATTTTCATCCAAAAATTCGTAAGATGTATCCATATTAGCAAGGTAACCAAGCAAAGATTAGCTATCTACTTTCAGTTCTTCGCCTAGAATTTTCTTATAATCTTTTAAAAGAATATTTTAATTTTTTTCAAAAGGGATTGATATTAAAATACTTTAAAATAGATTTTTATAAAATTTGAATTAAATAGTTCTTTTTTTTTAACTTGGAATACTTAATTGAACTGTTAAATAAGGATCAAATGTAATTGAAAATTGTTGACAAGTTGAGCACTTTAATGTCGATTTTTATTGACCATGCATAAGATCAACAACTATTGATTGATTTCTTGCAAGATGATTTAACCAACTTTCTTTGGCAACAACAAAATCAGATCTACCATCATAATCCTTAGTTTCAACTTAAGGTTTCTTTTTAACTCGATTTAAATCCTCATGAATTCCATCCAAAACAAATGTTATTAATTCTGATGAATCATGTTAATGGAAACCGTTAAACATTGGGTAAATTTAGCCAAGTGCCTTTTTATAATTTATTGGTGTTATTGTTTGTCTATCTCCACACCACATTTTTTTAATGAGTGATCCAACTATCTTGACTAATTACCCTTATGTGCCTAAAGGATTATCCATATTAATCTCATCAAAGTACAAATTCTTCAAGAAATATTCAACCAGAGGATATGAATTCGAAATACATTAAGTTCCACTATTCATAAAGCTTGTATTTACTAAATTACTTAAACCTACAATTCCCTTAACTGATGTAGTTGTAAGAGTTAGAGATTTTACTGATTCATCATCTGAACCATGTTTTTCACATCTAAAACGATGATAATTATAATCATTTTATTTGCATTCTTCTTTACAATAAGAAACTTTTCTGCAAAGGCAAGGAAAAGAGAGAAATTTAAAGGTATGGCAATAATCACATTTTCCTTCTATTTAAACTGCTTAAATTCTAATACACCATGGTTTATAATCATCTTTGAACTTATAAAATAAAAGAATAATTTACTTCAAATATAATTAGATTAGTATCGATAACACCAATATCTTAAAAAGTTTCATATTATTGATGAGTAAGTAACTCTCCTTTAAAATTAAAGTACATATCATCTTAACCTTCTAACTCACTAATTTATTTATAAATTTCATTAAATAATGCTTGATATAGATCTTTTTATTCTGAGACATATCTCCAAATTCTAACATTGTTATCTTTTGCAAAATTTCCTGTAAAAGTATTTACTGTTCTTTAAATTAATAATTAATAATCTTTAAATTTCATGTTTCTATCCACTTACATAACTTCACTATCAAATGTTTATCTAGGCATTTTATCAAAAGATATTAATTTGATTATTGATGGATAGAGCAAGACAGATTTAAACTATAAATTAAGATATTAAATACTCTGAGTAAATTTATGGCCACTTTTTTTCTTTTCCATTACCATTTGATTTTCTTATTATTGCAATTCCTGAATGGTACAATGTAAAAAATTTCCAAATATCTTTATCAATAACTACATAATCGACATTTTCTTATAATCCTTATTTCATGTATGTATTCCATGGATGTGTTTTGATTGGATAGTACTTAAAACTACATTTCTACATATTATCCTATAAATCATCGTTAATTCTTTCAAGTGTTATTCTACCAAAGTATTTATTTGGTGCTTTGTTAGCCACGATTTCATCATAGGAAACATATTGCTTCCATTAATTAAGCCATCTTTATTTTTTTAATTTAAATTACTTTGTGCTTAAAACATAAAACTCAATATTGGCATCTGATGAAAATCTCTTAGAACATGTTTCTTGTAGTTTCTGGTATTCTAGGGCTTGCTTTTTTAATGAATCAACTGTATGCTGGGATACTTCAACTTCATGTTATCTCTCTTGCTGCATATTAAATTGAAAAAAAAATTAATTATCATTGATACTTAATATTAATTAAGGTTTTCTAATTTTTTATTTAAATATCGATTATGAAAATTAGATTTGAATCTCCAACAGGAACAGGCAAGACTTTATGTTTATTATGTTCATCAATGGCTTGGTTATAAAAGAATAGAAAAGAATAATAGAAATCTGATTATGCTTAAAAATTTAAGAATTATTTATACTTCAAGAATTCATGCACAATTCAAATAGGTAGCTTAAGAATAAAATAATTATAATTATACTGTAAT